GAAGTAAAAAACTATAAAATGTCAAGAACTAACTCAAAATAGTGGGTGAATAACATGAAAAATCATGTGTAAAAATGAACCGAACAATACTCCCCACCATTGTCGAACCGGAACACTTTGATGGATGCTTGGAACTGAGTGGTGATCATAGCATGGAATTCACGAATTGTGGTAGTAAGATCACTTTTATGGGTGAGCAAGTACACCCATGTCATGCGGGTGCAGTCATCTATAAATGTAGCAAACCACCTCTTGCCAGTAGAAGAGACTTTAGCAGGGCCCCAAACATCGGAGTGAATCAACTCAAAAGGAAATTCTGTTTTACTATCACTTGATGGAAATACAGTGCGATGGCTCTTGGCCAACACGCATGTTTCACACTTAAACTGAGAATCAACTAAGCCTTGGAATAAAGATGGAAACAACCGTCGAAGGTAGCCAAACGATGGATGTCCTAAGCGACGATGCCATAGCCAAATCTGTTGTTGAGCACGTGAGTTTTGAACATGGACAGCTCGTGGTGGTGATGAGACCGTCAAGGTATACAACCCCCCTCTCCGTTTACCATGCCCAATCGTCTCGTGAGTCGTAAGGTCCTGAAACTTACAATGAGAAGGATAGAATGTGGCATAACAATTATGTGAGTCAAGGAATTTCCCAACAGACAACAAATTGCATTTAATAGAGGGGACAAGTAGTGTATGAGATAAAGATAATTTAGGGGAAAGTGATATAGTCCCTTCTCCAGCAACATTAGAAGAAGCCCCATTGGCACTAGTGATGTAAGGATAATGAGATTTAGGAGATAAGGTGGAAAAAACAGTGGAGTCAAAAGTCATATGATCAGTGGCACCAGTATCAATTATCCATGTAGTAGAGCGTGTACCTGAGTCGGGGTTGGAGTCGGAGAGTAAGGCAGGAGATGGAGACTCACCGGTAGTCATGACATAAGCAGCCTTGGGTGCCATGTTGCGGGTCTTGTGTGAAAGTATGGATACGTAAATGTAGCGGAAGATTTAAAGAACACAATAGGGGTACAACAGAACAAAGTAACCAAAGGGACACGAGTTTGAATTATGTAGGGACAAGGTTATGGAAGATAAGGTTATGCATAGGCACAGCAAGGCAAGGACAAGATTTAAGCAAAGGCAAAGCAATGGCAAGGATAAGGGAAAAACAAAATTACGTAGGGATAAGTATATGCAGCGGAAGGATAAAACAACAAAGGGAACTCAACACAAATTTTGTGTTGGAACAATATAGGAGCAAAGAAGTAAGGGCAAGATTAAGTAGAGGCAAGGTAAGGCAAGAACAAGGTAAGAGCAAGGTAAAACAAGGTTATGCAGAGGCAACCAAAATCGATTGCTCTGATACCATGCCAAACAAAGTGTAGAGATTTGTGTAGAGATAAGCTAGAATATGAGAATGTGAGAATGAGAGAAGATAATTTTCTGGTTTTAGAATTCTTTCTTATATCTCACATTACTTACAATCAACACATATATATACAAGTTCCTAAGCCCCCCAAGTTAGGCAACCAACCAAGTTAGGCAACCAACCTAGTTAGGCAACCAACCTAGTCAAGCCCCCCAAATATTGTAGGTGCCAAACATAGTAGGTGCCAAACATTAATTGACTACATAATCAACACATTAATTGACTACATAATTAACACATTAATTGACTACATAATTAACACTTCCTACTCCAGCTGAGCGATATCACGTTGCTGAAATTCTCCTACTGCCTGCCGAGACGTGTTGGAGACGAGGCGCCTCTGTTTTTCGGTGAGGAGGCAGAGCTCTCGGGTCATGAGAGTCAAATCCAAACGACGCCAATTGTGGGGCCTTCCGACGAGTCCTATTATCTAAATGTGACGGGTATAAGCCTGAATGGATCGATTCTTCCGATCGATCCAAAGCTGTTTATATCCGAGAGCGACTATGGAGTTGCTATAGATTCGGGCTCGCAGTACTCTATGTTGGTGGACGGAGTTTATCAAGCCGTGCGCAAGGCCATGGTCTCCTACTTCGTGGACGAGTGGCTGGTGCAGCCTCTCAACAAAACTAAGTCCGGAATGGACCTCTGCTATGACATCACAGACATAGCAGCAGCAGCAACAACAATAGGAGGAGGAGAAGGCCCAGGCAGCCAGCTGTTTTCGGTTGCACCGCCGATGGTGTTTGAATTTGATGGCGCCCACCTCGAGTTAAAAGAAGAAACAACTTTTCAACTTTTTGATGAATTCAAGGAATTCTGCTTGATGATGGGGGCATCCAAAGATTTTTCAGGAAATATTTTCGGAGCATTCCAGCAGTTCAACCACAGATTTGAATATGATGTTGGGGCATCCAAGTTGTCATTTGCTCCAGAAAGATGCTGATCGGTTGAGGGTACTAGTACAATATCCCATCCATATATTAATATTATTATGTCTAAATAAAAAGAAGTCATCAACGATCGATCATGGTGCTGTACTGTTAATTATTAATCTCCAGAACCAGAAATACAAGGCATGTGTTTTTCTAATTCTATTTTATCAGTCTAATCTAAGTCTTTTATTGTTGTGCTTAATTAATATGGATGGATGCCTCATGTCATGAATCAGTTTATGAATGGTTAAATCGTTGTTGTTTTGTTATGTTATCAAGGGCATTGCAATGTGCAGTGATAAGATAACAAGGACACTGAGAGGGAGGCATTATTTTTATGGAGATTTTTTTCTTTCTTTTATATGGAAATCAATGATGCATCTTAGATTCAATGCTTTTTGTTGTTTCGTTAGATGAGAAAACATCAGTGGCAGCAAGCAGGCAGGGCCTTTCTTTTGTGGTAACATAACAAATTTCTTACTCAGATCAAGTCTAGGTGATGATATCTTTTGTTTTGGCTAAACAGAAGATGAACTATTGTCAATATGAAAATGTTGCAGCTTCTTAGGGCCTGTTTGGTATTCAACTTGAATCCAACTTTTTAAACTCAAAAACAGAATTTGAGTCCAAAACAAAGAAAACCTATTTGGTCCCTATTTTTAAAAACTCAAACTCAAGAACAACTAAGAAAACACCCCAATTATTAAAAACAAAAAATATATGTTTTTTTTTTTTTTTTTCTAACAACCCACAAGTTCTCAAATTTTTAAGATTTGAAAACAGTTTTCAAGTTGCATACCAAACAAGTTTTTGAATCTTAAAAATAAATTTAAGAACTCCTTGGTTTTAAGAAAAATCAAAGTTTTTGAGTTCCCTATTTGAATAGGATACCAAACGCCCCCTTAAATTCGTATACGTTTACAAGACTCAAAATGGTTGGAGGCTTAGAAATGAGTTATTACTTTTCATGGTAGATTGGGTAAACAAATTATCCAAAATATATATTTAAAAAAACAATGTACGAAATAATATGATGTTACTTATTTATTAGCTAGAACATTGGAAGAGAGAGAGAGAGAGAGAGAGAGAGAGAGAGAGAGAGAGAGCATAGGAATTTCATATCTCATGCCTTCTGTTGGATTGGGAACTTGGACATGTTAGCTAGGACTTATAGGCATTGCAATGTGCTGCACTTTACGAAACAATGGGAGGCATTATTTTTACGGAGGTTAACACAGAAACAATGTATTACTCATGTGGTGATTGATTTTGCATCTCCACTCCTATAACCAATCTGTTAGCAGAAGAAAGAACTTCATTGAATGAAATTAAGGGGCACAGTCATATCATCAACTACAAAAGGGTTCCAACCAGGGCGGACTTCTTCATCCCAAAAAAAATCATGACATTTGAGAGCATAATTGGGTGTAAAAAAAAATCATGACAACCTTAGCAAATAAATGTCCCACTGTCCTGAAAGTCCTTTACCTTTCAAATGTAGTTTATTAATTTTATATGAATTATAATTGAACTAACACATTAGTTGACCGTGAGTATGAGTTAACCTGTGTCCAGAGAATGTCTTGACCGTGAACACGGCGTTGACCGTTAGACAAAGTGCCCGAGTGTCCGACACTCCGACACTTGGGCTTAGTGAATGCGATGCCATAATGATGAGGCTAGGCTATACAAGATTAATTTAGTTCCATCCTGCAAGCACATGTACAATTTTCTCTTTTTGTGTTGAAGTTTCCCATTGCCACTGTCTTAGTTACTCTCATATTGATCAGTAAGAAATCAATAAGATATTTTTCTTCTTCTCTGAGCTTATGATTCATGTTTTGGTCTTTGCTATGTGTATCAGGTTTCATGTTTTGGTCTTTGTTTGGAAACGTGATCACTATTGTAATGTTTGGTGCTGTTGGTACATTAAAATATGTATATGATTAGGTAGGCCCATAGCCTATCCGAGGGGAATTACGCCTATTCCTAATCCTATTTTAGACTCATGTGTTGCAGCATATATACCTATTCAGATTGTGTATGCACATTACATTACAGGCAGGACACACCCACACACACACATATATATATATATATATGAATGTTGCGTCTGAGTTTTGATGAAACACAACCCAATGGTCAAGGTGGTAGGTGCTCAATCAACCAATCAAGATGAGACACCTTAAGGGGTCGTTTGGTACGGCGGACTGTCATGGACTTGATTAAATTCTGGGACTATCTTGGATTAGCTCGGATTGGCCTAAGCTGGATTAAGTATTGGCCTATGTTTTGTGCTATGTCGGACTAAGAAGCTGGATTGTAAAAATAGTAAAGACCTATGTTTGGTGCTATGTCGGATTAAAAAATAATTATTTTAATATTTAAAAATAATAAATTTTAAATAATTAAATGTAAGTTTTTTTTGTTATTATAATTACCAAATTGACATGCATGTACATTTATTTTCCTACAAACCAAAGGCTTTTTTATTGTTGTTAAAGTTACAAATTCCGCTGAGTTTATGTATAATTGAGTCTTTATTTGTATACAAACACAAAGAATGTGATTAATGTATCAATTACAACCACTTACCTCAACTCATGCTTCAAGAATTTCAAGATATGCATATATGCAAAACTTAGAATTTACATGTAGATGTCAATGTCAGAATTTCTTCATATATGCAAAAAGTTATAAATTCATCCTCTATGCCAAAGTTGTTTAATTCACTGCACACAATTCCACCATTAATACATACAAATAAACGAGAAATTATAGAATAGTATTAAGAAGCCCCACAACCATGAACCATCTGGCTTTAATGCTCGCAATATGTTATACCATTTGTGGTGTTTCCAAAATGACGATCCACAATTCCAAAATGAAATTAAGAAGCCCCACAACCATGAACCATCTGGCTTTAATGCTCGCAATATGTTATACCATTTGTGGTGTTTCCAAAATGACGTCAATCCCATCAATGCATTATTTGTGGTGTTTCCAAAAAGATAGATGCATCAAATTTAGTTAGGCCATGTCCTCAAGTCAATGACCATACTACAGCTTAACTAATTACATAAAAAATCCTATTGGATTGAACTAAACACATAAAGCAATGCTTCTTGTAGGACGTCCATAGCATCTGCTAGTTTTGCTTATGGGCCGCCTATAGCCACGAAAGGACAGAAGAAGAAGGGGCCTGCAAAAGAAAAAAGAGCAAGAAGATGTGAGAACAAAGTTCACATTAGCCAAACAAAGAAAAGAAAAGAATTAATGCACTTAACCAAACAAAGCCAATCCTTCCCACTATCGCATAAGGTGCCAAATGGCTGACCCAATTGAATGAGAGAGACGAAAGGCTGCCAATCGATCATAAACTAAGCTAACTTTACTCTAGAAAACAATTTACAACATGAACACAGGCAAGATATATAGTCAATGTGTTGGCCAATCTCAGTCCTAAACTAACGAGAAAGGGGTCACCTAAAAAACTGTCAATTTCAGTCCTAAACTATGTTCTCAAACTTCCAGAAAAAATAGGACTTCCAACTTTGGATGACAGCACAAGTCACCAAGACAAAATCAACCAAAGAAATAGAAAACACAACTCCATGCACAAGACAACAAACCAAAGCAAAAGCATACAAATTAACAATAACTAGAGCTTTGATAAAACGAAAAACAATAATCATAGCAAAAGCATATAAACCAAGCACTGCAGATACCCATCAAATAATTCCCAATAATAGGAAAATAAACTATAAACTAGAAACTAGAGATTAGAGACAAGTTTCTTCAATGTGTGTGAAGATTGAACTTAACAAAATTAAAAAAATGAATTAAACCCTAGAAATTAGAAAGAAACATAAGAAAGAAATGAAAAACAATTACAAACAAAGCCTATAACGTTGGGGCATCAAAACTGTCATTTACTCCAGAAATATGTTAAGTTGAAGGAAAAGGACTCATCCTTATTATGTCTAAATAAAAGAAGATTATTAATGGTGTTTTCTAATTAATTTTGTTTTTAGTCTTCTCTCTTTTTGTTATGTTAGTATGTACAAGAAACTGCCATATTTCAAACACCAGGACAGGAATCAGGATGACAAAACTATTGCAATATTATATTCTGGCTCTGTTCGGTATGCATTTACAAGACTCAAACTAGTTGGAGGCTTGGTAGATTGGCTAAACAAATTAAGGAAAAATGTCCAAAATCAAACAACAAAGTCATGTTATTAATTATCTATTCCATTGGAAATGGGAGAGTGCATAGGAATTTCACATCTGATATATTATATATATGTTATGTTGGAACTTGGACATGTTAGCTAGGTGGAAGGAGGACCTATAAAACAATGGGATGGGATGGGAGTCATTACTTTTACACACAAACAATGGGAGACAAATTTACTGGTATTACACTACTACACAGATGTGGTGCTTGATTTTGCATCTTTGCTCTACTCCTAATAATAATATCCTATGACAAACATCTGTTATGTTGGAAAAAGCATCTGTTTATTTATTATATTAATATATAATCAAGCGATACAGCAGCGAAATTCTATAATGAGGCCTCCATATATTGACCTTAGAACAATTTGACAAGATCAAAGTAATCCAACGGCTAAAACTAGACTCTCACTTGAAGTCCATATATATGGACCTTATTATAGAACGACTCTGGAGACAGCAAATTGGAACAAGACTAAAGAAACAATAATCTTTCTTCAGTTCCCTTTGTAAAAGGTTCTTAATTTCAAGGGTTCAAAAAATTTGGCCCAGACACCAGCATGGTAGTTTTCAGGTGGGTTAGGCAAGGATTCATTCTTAGCCGCAACGACAAGCCCATAAAAGATGCCTGATATATAAATGGTCTCACCCGAAACCACCCTTTGAAAAACCAACTTGTTTGTGACTTTCTTGTTGTACTCCAAAACAGCCCACTTTCCCTTTTCTACTACAACTGGATCGCTGGTGTTTACAGGCATCCAGGCACCAGGAT